TGCTAGGAAATAAAGAAAACAGAGTGTCAAGTCGCCCGACAAAAGTCTTGTTATGTTCGTTTGAAATGTCAAGCTAGGAAAGGAATAAAAGTCGGGCTGAGACATGCAAGCAGCAAGCGGCGAGCGGAAGCTAAAGGTGGGGTCAATAGGGGACTACCCCGCTGTCGTCATTGGTGGAGCCTGTCAACCGCTGCGCAAGGTGGGGCACATCCCATAGCTAGTATCAAGTCCCGTCACTCAGGGGCTCACGCAACCTCCATGATATCCTCATATACAACCTCATGCCATTCCCACAATATTCTAACAATCCTCTAAATATATCCGCTTCCAGTCCCCCCTCTCCCAACCGCCCCCCCTCCTTCCCCATCGCTCAACTCAATCAACTCAAATCAAACCCCGCCCCACTCTTCACCGCATACAACAACTTCTCCCTCAACACCCCCTTCCGACTATACCTCGGCAGCTTCAACAAATTGATACACGTACTCGCGCTCGGCAGCCTGTCCTCATCCTGCCCCCCATACCCAATCGTGAACCTCGGAAAAAGCTGGCTGAACCCCAGCAGCGGCGCCCTCGGCGTGCTCGTCACATACTGCAGCACCTCCCTCCTCTCCTCGTCCCCAAACTCCTCCATTACCTCCCAAAACAGCTTCACCGTCTCGTGCTCCTGCCCGTCGTCCCCAATCTGGTAAGGCCCACTGTACACCGTGTTCCTCCTCAAATCATCCACATCGATCGCTCCGCTGTCCCCGCCCACCAGCCGCTGAAGCTCGTTCTGGTTGAACATGCTCAGCCAACCCGGCTCAATCACCATCTTGAGACCCTTGAGGAAAGCCTGCGTCTGCGCAAAAGGTTGCAGGGCGAGTTTGTACTTGGCCAGCTGGACAATGTACTTTAACCTGTTCCCCTTCGTGACGGGAATGTTATTGCCGTTGGGGCAGAGCGGTCGAGAGACAATATTGGGCTGCTTATCCTCTGGCGTTGAAATGTCGACATCCAGGGCAAAGTTCAAGCCCATGTCGTCCACCTGGTCTTCGTTGTTCTTCAAGAACAGCAATCCCCGGTAGAGCTCTTCGTCCAGCTCTCTCAGATCATTCAGGCTGGCTTGTTTGGTATCCGCTGTCGTCCACTTGAGCAGGAAGAAACCGGCAAAAACGACATTGATGAGGATCCCCTCATACATGCATTTTCCAATGAGCCGTCCGGCGAATTCATATTGTCTGAGCAACTTGGTCCTGGTCTCGGACTCGCTGAGACCGCGCTTCCTCGCCAAAGCCAACCACTGCTCGACTATCAGAGGGTTTGGGTAGTATGCGTTCTTGCTGTTGGCGACGAACAAGCTGGTGTCGGACAGCATCTCGGCAATCACACTTGTCAAGAACTCCTTCGTCACTCCGCCCCCGTCAATCCCCGCCTCCTGCATCCCCCATTGATCCAGAAAAGTAATCTGCACCGGCTCCTTGATTGCCTCTTCCAGCGGGTACAGACTTCCCTGCGCATCCCGGAACAAGCTCCCTCGCCTGATCAGGGCTTGGTGCCTCGCCAACGAGTTCCTGGTGGGATCAGCCTCCAGCATCATCATGCGCCAGCTGTCCGGGTCCGCATGGCCACTTCTCCTCCGCAGCTTGTCAAGAGTGATAAACTGCCGAAAGATCATCACCCGCTGGTCAAACGGAACCACAAACGGAAGATTCTTCAGAACCTCCAGTTTCGGTGCCACCTTGGCCCGGGCCTGTTCCCTCGCGGCTAGCTTCTGTCGCGCCTCAAGCAGCGCTTGTCGACCCACAGTCCGATGTGGTCCATGCCGCCAATCCCGTTCCTCTGGCTCATGCTCCTCCTCCACACCCATCCCCTCATCTTCCTCCCCCTCAGCATGCCCAAGCGCCCTCTGCCGCTCCGCCTCCACCACGACCGCCTCCTTGAACCCAGCCATATCAAACTTCTCCGTCATCAACCAGTGGTCCTTGGGCAGAAAGGGTCTCCGAGAATCACGCTCGTACAACCCCCTCATAGCCGCCAGGACCAACCCCCTCACCTTATCCAAACCCACCCCCGCCGTCACCACAAACATCGACGGCCTACTCAGACCCCTCAAATTCCTCGACGAAGCCCACGAAGCCAACAACTCAGCCATGTTGTAATAAAGCACAAACCCCAAGTGCTTCAGAAACAACGTCAGCTTCTTGACACTCTCCATGTCCAAGCCGCTCGACCTCGTCCTCGGCAAATCCTCCCCAGCCGTTCCATTCCCCGGCTTGTCACCCTCCAGTATCGCAAAGAAGTCGGCATCATCCGTCACCTTGAGCACAAACACATAAAGCTCCAAAAACAGCAAAATCGTCCTCCACTGCTGATGCCACGAGTCATTTTCCCCATGCAGATTCGATGTCTGCGGCGCCGACTTGAGAATCCCCAACGCGGCTTCCGACTCGGACGCGATGCTTCTAAACACCACCGTCCGCTTCATCACCTGCCACAAATATTCCAGCGCAGGCACCCTACCCGTCCTTGTCGGAACATTCGAGTAAAACAGACGCATGCGAATTTCTTCGCCCGCGTTGGGGAAGCAGGATAGCAATGTCAGGACATAGCCAGCATAGGGACTAGCATCGCCGAGTGAGCTTGACTCGTGGCCCAGGGAAAATGGAGCAGAAGTCTCGAGCAGCCCAGTAATGGCCCTCGACGTTGTCAGCAAGGCCAGCTTACCCGAGACATACGCCGGCAGGGTCCCCTGAGCCACGTCATCCTCACCATCGAGCCCAGCATCGGCAACCGGTTCCGCTGCAAGCTGAATCTGGTCTGAAAGAACGGATAAAAGGGAGCAGAGGACGCCGAGGTAGCTGGCATGTACGTTTTGCTGCTGCTTTGCCTCTTGAAGTGCAATCAAGTGCGCCAAAAGCCATAGCAATCTAGCTCTGGGTACGTCTAATTGTGTGGCCTCAAACTTCTCAGAGGCGAGCGTATCCGAGAGGCGGTCTAGGTCGATATTGGCACAAAATAGGTAGAGGTTGTTCTCAAACATGTTCAAGTCTGGTGTTGCCAAGAAGTCAAAAGCAAAGGCATGATAGGCTTTGCTCAGGAATGCTTCTAGACGATTGTCAGTCAATCAGAATCGTGTTCTCAAGAGAATGTGTAGCTTCTTACCTGGGAAGGTCCCCACTGATAGGGGTTTTGTGACCGCCTGGCTGAGCAGCGTAAACGGCTGCTGCAAGCTCGGGGCAAGGTTGCAGTAGTTAGCCATCACCCTGTAATATTGATCGAGAACATGCCCAATAGCTTGTGGTCGAAGGTCCATAACTTCCAGAAGTACGGAGAGCACAACGTGGATATCAGGGCCCAGATTTAATTCTTTCTGCAGTGCGCCTGTGAGCTTCCGAACAAGCCTGTCAAGTTGAAATCCTTCCGCTCCCTGGGACCGGAACAAATGGAGGCTCGAGTTGCAAAGATCGCGACAGAGCCACACCATTCGTCGACGGTCATTGTGGTTCTTACTTTGGAAGGACCTCAGCAGTAGGGGAAGTGCTTTGGCGGATCTCCTTTCGAGGTCGTTTTGGTTATGGTGGTACAGGTCGTCGATGGCGGCGCGATCTTGGGCCCTGAGATGTTGCCTAATCTGACTGCCCCGCCATACTCTCTGGATACGCTCAGCAGCCCTGAGCTTCTCCTTTTCTCTCTGCCTCTTTTCGCGTTCGGCTGCCGCTCTTGATACGGTGGTGGAGGCACCTAGTGTTGCCGGAGCGGCCCATGGATTATGTGCTGTGTTTCCACTGAGGTTGACGTTACGACGTCTCCCGGTCGACTGACCGGTGAAGGTAGAAAACATGGTTGTTGATGTTGCCCGAGACGGGGAGATCGAAGGAATGATGGGTGTATCGATCGGTTATTCAGCATAAAGGAGGGATGATGGGGTAGATGTCGGGCAACAGTCGTGGTGGGTTTGGTTTGTTGGAGAAAATTAGTAGATTAGATAACTGCTATGCCGCTTCTCACGTCTTGGGAGCTCGAAGTAAGGGCAGGTGCAGCGAGAAGTATGTAGTGTTGGTGAAGAGGGATGCCGCCCCAGAGCTTCGAGAACGTTCCCACTCCGACCTGGAAATGCCGTTAAGGCACCACAAGGAGGCGGTCCTTGAGCGCCAAGCTACACCGACCGGAGATAACTAAATAGGTAGGCTGTGGCTGCAGGATCGACCAGTGGGAACTGGAGGGGAGTCTCAGCCTCGGGCAGCCCAGAGGTCTTTGAAAATGATCAAGATTCAGGTACCTACTCAAGTGCAGCGGGGTTGAGTGAAGCCGGAGCGAGAGGTCCAAGCCGGAGCTGATGTCACTGCTTCCTAGCTGCTGCCCCCGGCAGACCCTGGATTACTCATGCTGCATTCTCAGAGGGCAGGAGCGCTGCTGCAGTGTGCATCTGCAACAGCGACGGGACCCTGAAAACCCTGATCGGAATTTTTAACACCTTACCTAGATATGCACGGGCAAAGGAATGGAATACACTTCTACGACGCACAGTATCTTGTAGCTTCTATTTTGCAGACACAGCATGACCTAGTTGCGCAAGACTGCCCTGCACAAGCTCCCGAGCTGTCAAGCCATCAAAATGGAAGGTGGGGGATGAGGCGTCTACCTACGAAATGCTGATTGAAGAGCCCCACTGATAACGATAAGGTGACAAGCCCCGCCACTTCTGCGGGAAAGAAAGTTTGAAGTGAAGTTTGAAGTTTGAAGTTTTGCGCTAGCGGCGGTGTGCGGCGACCCGATATAGGGATACCTTAGATATACATATCCTATCCTCTTCAGAGACCGCATCCAGCGTTTCTGAGCCATAGGATGCTTAGTGGCTACCTTAAGTCAGTCATTGAGTTGCCTGCTGTCTATTGTGTTGCCACTTTAGTATTGTTGACAGGCTGGCTGTCAGTTGCTGTCTTTGTTGGCAGGTGAAGGTAGGTTGGCAGGTGAATAGCTGGCAGGTGAAAGTGGCCTCTGTAAAAGTGGGGTGGCATTCGGTTAGGGCGATATTTACGGTTTGTGGGCAGAAACCATGACCCCGAATTGGCAGAAAAAATCTGTCTCCGCAGGAGCCATCGAAGCCCTCTTTTCCCTTTCTTCATCAATCGATCAAAAACCTTTATCTCTGGATTCTTTCCACAACACCACCAGAAAAAGGAGCGAGACCAGTACGACACCACGTATGTTCTTGTCTACTTCTTTTCTGAGCCTCCCATAAAACAGCCAAAAAAAAATTGAAAAAACCAATAAAAGTAGCCCCTACGACACCACCACGACCCAAAACCAGACAGAAAAAAAAAGAAAAAAAAGAAAGCCCATCCTCTTCCGCCGCCCCGCCGACCATCCGACGACCGCGTCCGACTTCTCTCGCGACCTACTCGTCCACCTCCGCAGAAAGGAACCATCTTTGTCTACCGTCGCTACACTTCGCGTACGGTAACTTATTTGCAGGAACACCTCATTCCAAGCATCAGGTACGTTTTAGACTCGCGGACAAACGACTAACTTTCCCACCCACTTTTGCCTCGAACCTTGAGACAGCAGAGGGCTGGAGTTAGAGTTTACTGCAGGCAGCAGTGTTACCTACAAAAGCCCTCTGTTTCTTTCAAAGTGCGAGAGCCACCACATTGCCCTTCTATCCATCCATCATCACGTTTGAACATTTTGGAACCTCGAGATGATCGTCCACCCACCACCACCATCGCCAGCGACCCCTCCGCTGGCACCCCCACCACCCAACACGCGAACAACAAATTCTCCACAAAGACACAGCTCCCACAGATCACTGACCGTGTCCACTCATCTTCTAGACCCAGCTATCATAATGGCCGCTCCCGTTGCCCCTGGCGCTGTCGACCAGCTTGCCGCTGATCTCGGCAACACTAGCCTCAACGGCGGTGAGAACCGCAATGCCCCCGCCATCGATACCAACGTGGCTGCTGGCCAGTTCCAGAACGAGGACCAGGAGGGCGCCGGCCCTACCCCCAACTCGGCCGCTCCTCACCCCCAGTCCTCGGCCTCCCTCTACGTCGGCGAGCTGGACCCGTCTGTGACTGAGGCCATGCTCTTCGAGCTCTTCTCCCAGATCGGCTCCGTTGCCTCGATTCGTGTCTGCCGCGACGCCGTCACTCGTCGCTCTCTCGGCTATGCCTATGTGAACTACAATGCCACTGCCGACGGCGAGAAGGCCCTCGAGGACCTCAACTACACTCTCATCAAGGGCCGCCCCTGCCGCATCATGTGGTCTCAGCGTGACCCTGCTCTGCGCAAGACTGGCCAGGGCAACGTCTTTATTAAGAACCTTGATGTCGCCATCGACAACAAGGCGCTTCACGACACCTTCGCTGCTTTCGGTAACATCCTGAGCTGCAAGGTCGCCCAGGACGAGAACGGCAACTCCAAGGGTTACGGTTTCGTTCACTACGAGACCGACGAGGCTGCCGCCAACGCCATCAAGCACGTCAACGGCATGCTTCTCAACGAGAAGAAGGTCTATGTCGGCTACCACATCCCCAAGAAGGATCGCCAGAGCAAGTTTGAGGAGATGAAGGCCAACTTCACCAACGTCTACGTCAAGAACATCCCCGCCGAGGTCACCGACGAGGAGTTCCGTGAGCTCTTCGCCAAGTACGGCGATGTCACCTCCTCCTCCCTTGCCCGCTCTGACGAAGGCAAGAGCCGTGGCTTTGGCTTTGTCAACTTCACTACTCACGAAGCTGCTTCCAAGGCTGTTGAGGAGCTCAACGGCAAGGATTTCCGTGGTCAGGAGCTGTATGTCGGCCGTGCCCAGAAGAAGCACGAGCGCGAGGAGGAGCTCCGCAGGTCTTATGAGGCTGCTCGCCAGGAGAAGGCTAACAAATACCAAGGCGTCAACCTCTACATCAAGAACCTCGGAGATGATGTTGATGATGACAAGCTCCGCCAGATGTTCTCCGAGTACGGCCCCATCACCTCGGCCAAGGTCATGCGCGACAGCGTAGTTGAGTCCGCCGCTGAGGATGAGAAGGACAAGGAGAACAAGAAGGAGGACGAGGAGGAGAAGGAGGGCGAAACAGCCGAGAAGAAGGCCGAGACCAAGGAGAAGCGCAAGCTCGGCAAGAGCAAGGGCTTCGGTTTCGTCTGCTTCAGCAACCCCGACGATGCCACCAAGGCCGTCACCGAGATGAACCAACGCATGATTGACAACAAGCCCCTCTACGTCGCTCTCGCTCAGCGCAAGGATGTTCGCAAGAGCCAGCTCGAGGCCAGCATCCAGGCCCGCAACCAGCTCCGCATGCAGCAGGCTGCCGCCCAGGCTGGTATTCCTCAGCAGTTTATGCAACAGCCAGTTTACTATGCTCCCGGTCAGCAGCCTGGCTTTATGCCCCCCGCCGGCGGCCGTGGCATGCCCTTCGCTCAGGGAGCTATGGGCATCCCTCCCCAGGGTGGTCGTCCCGGCCAGTACCCTCCCTATGCTGGTCAGCAGGGCGGCCGTGGCGGCATGCCTCCCCAGCAGATGCCCATCTACCCCATGGGTGCTTTCCCTCCCAACTTTGCCCAGCCCAATAACCCTCAGTTCCTTGCTGCCATGCAGCAGATCCAGGCTGCTGCTATCCAAGGTGGCCGTGGCGGTCCTGGCCCTCGTGGCGTGCAGGGCATGCCTCCTCAGATCCCCGGTGGCCCCGTCGCCGGCTTCCCTCCCAACGGCAGATCCCAGAACGGCATGGGCCGTGGTGCCGGTGGCAACCGCGGTGGCTTTGCCGGCGGCCGTGGCGGTGCTCCCTCCGCTGGTCCCGCCGATGTGAACATCGCCGCTGTTCTCCACACCCAGCTCGCCGCTGCCGCGTCTCCTGCCCAGCAGAAACAGATCCTCGGCGAGAGCCTCTTCCCCAAGATCCAGGCCATCCAGCCCGAGCTTGCTGGCAAGATCACCGGCATGCTCTTGGAGATGGAGAACCAGGAGCTCATCAACCTGTAAGCTCTTCCGCTTGTTTCTATGTCATTGAAGAACACTGTGCTAACCTTTTGACTCTAGCATCGAGGATGAGGCTGCTCTCAACGCCAAGGTCGGCGAGGCCATGAACGTCTATGACGAGTACGTCAAGACTCAAGCCACTGGCGAGGTCAAGGGTGAGGAGCCCAAGGCCGAGGAGAAGGCCGAGGAGAAGGCTTAGATGCGGCGACACGAATACGAATGATTCGCACAGCAAGCCCGACTTTTTTCCTTTGGGGATGCGCTTTCTTATCTGTTTCCTTTCGGTTCTTCTCGGTCGATCTTGCGCAAGGGGGTCGGGAAAAGTTTTTGATACCAGCTTTAGCAGCGCAACATGATGTTCTTCTCGTCCAACGTGCCCGGTCGAGGAGGTTCGGCATCGGAAGGGATTTTTCTTTCGGGAGGTTATGAAACGAGGGCGCACAGCTAACGAGATGATTATCGTGGCATTTGCTATGACATTGATACGTTATGGTCATGTAACTCGCGGTAGACTTGCTTATGATTTGGCTGGTGGGAGTTTTTTTAGTATGGGAGGGAGGGGAAGGAAGGAACATTTCTTTGTCCTTTTTCTCTTTTTTATGTTTGCAAAATGGCGCGGCCATCTTTGCAGACTATCACCACTACTACTCACTCACCAGCAACATCAACAACAACAACAACAACAACAAGGATTTGGGGCAGGGGGGACGGGATAATTGTGTTTTTTTTATTTGTTTTTATCTCATCAACCGACTCTCGGGACTGGCGTTCTACGGTTGTTTTTTCTGGGGTGGTTGGGAATTTTTCGGGAGCTGTTATGGGCTCGGATGACAAAGACAAAAATGGCATCACACAATCACCAAATACCCCCCTCTCGGTCGTTTCTTCTCTCTGTGTGTATCAGTGCGGTTCTCTGGTGATGGTGTGGAGGACTGGCTCTTGGTGGATGAGAAGGAAAAGTCAGTGTTCTGGAACTTATGTCAAGTATGAAGATAGGACAAGATTGTATTTTTATGATGTTTGTGTACTCGGGTGCTTGATGTGTTGTTGTTATTGGGTAGGGGATTGGTAGGGCATAGAGAGGTTTGTATCTGATGTTTATGGTGATGTATTGTGACACCACTCGGCGCCAGTGTCTGTCATGATTTTATCTTCCTAGATGTCTGTGATGGTGAGGCATTGATCTCGGAAGCTAAAGTTGCACAACATGTGTGTCTCTGCCGTACCACAACTTTGCATTTCCCACGACGAGACAGTCTTTCTACCTGGGGTAGAATAAGAAGGAAACCTTTGACTCGGTAAAAGGTGTGTGACGTGCCGTCTTCTTGCACCTTTTTTTTTTTTTTTGAATAAACAGCGTGTCTACCAACCATCTTTGAAGACCTGTTTGCCTACCCTTTCAACCCCATCACCTATCTTTCATCCATAACCAAGAACCCCGTCCTGTCAAGTCACTTTCACCGTATCATTGATGTCTCACCCCAGCCCAAAAACCCCACTCCCGACCAGCGAAACTAGACAAAAGACATGAACCCAAAAATGCACCACCGGTCCCCCCAGGACTTTCTCTTCGTTTTCCCTCTTCCCTTGTGCGAGGTTGAGCCGGGCATAAGCCCGGTAGATAGGCCAGATGTGGTAACTCCCCAGTGACAGCGCCACAAGCGCAGACAAAGAGTCGAAGTTTGGTCGGAGGAGGAAGATGAGGGTGATTAGGTTGGTTGAGAGGAGGAGGCCGCCGTAGTTTTGGAGGATGAGGAGGGCTTGGGGGGATGCGGAGGGGAGTTGGGAATGGGGGAAGAACAAAAAGGAGAAGGAGGCGGGGGTTTCGGTCAGGAGGTGGAGGAGGAGGGGGAGTTTAAGGAGGGGAGTAGGGACGGGGGTTGTCATTGAGGAGGGGGGGGGGACTGACAAAGGTTAGTGAGGGGGGTGGAGTGGTGAAATGGAAAACATACAGTATCTCCTGGATTAGTGCTGCGGAAAAGTAGGTTTGTGGTGTTCGTGAGAAATGTGGAAGAAAAGCCGGTGGAAAGGTTGGTGTTTACTTTGGTGAGATTTAAGTGTGTTTTGCCAAGATATATATATATATATATGGGGAAATGGTTTGACAGGGGATGGGATAAAACTGGGGTTTTATGTAACACATCCCCGAATATTGGATTGCTCGTTAAAAAAAAAAACCAATGTTAGATGAGAGTAAGGAAAAGGATAAGGTGATCAGTGTCACCATCTTGTGATACCTAGATTACCTTTTACAGAGTTGCTCGCAAGTCTCAAAAGGTGTCTCTGTACGTATCTTTGAGGTTTGAGGAGCCTGTTTCTTAGTTGCCTGGTAGAATAGATGAGGTTTTCGGTCTGGACATGACCATCTCACATACACCAACCAATCTTACAGCGTCTGTCTCCTTTATCAGTCACTTATACAATATTATACACCCCTCATCCAGTCACATATCCTACACCCCCGCCCTCACGCTTTTCCTCCCATCACCTGGTCCCCCCCCCCCCTCCCAACCCAATCTTCTCCCCCAACCTTCTCGCAACATCCATAAACACCCCCGCCCTCTCCGACTCCGGCTCCGCCACCACCGTCGGCTTCCCTCTGCTCGCATCCTCCCCGATATTAGGATGGAGCGGTACATCCCCCAAAAACTCCATACCATAATCCTCACACATCTTCTTCACCCCCTCCGTCCCCCCAAACACAGGTGTCTTTGTGCTGCAACAGGGACAAGTAAACAAACTCATATTCTGCACCAACCCCAAAACAGGTACATCCACCTTTTCAAACATCTCCACCCCCTTCACAGCGTCCTTGACAGCCAGCGTGTGCGGCGTCGTGACGATGACCGCCCCCGATAGTGGTATCTGCTGCGTGATCGACAATTGAACATCACCCGTCCCAGGCGGCAGGTCAAGAACTAAAACATCCAACCCAGGCGACCAGTCCACGTCGTGTAGGAGTTGTTGTATAGCCTTTAGAAGCATGGGTCCTCGCCAGACGATGGGGGCGGATTCGGAGCCGATGAGGTACCCTATTGACATTGTCTTGACGCCGTAGTTGGTCAGGGGGATGAGCTGGTTTTTGGGGGTGAGGTTCGGGGGGGAGTTGAGGGAGAAGAGGGTTGGTACGGAGGGGCCGAAGAGGTCGGTGTCGAGGAGGCCGGTGCGGTGGCCTAGGCGGGTGAAGGCGAGGGAGAGGTTGGCTGCGATGGTGGATTTGCCTACAGCCCCTTTGGCGGAGGAGATGGCGATGATGTGGGCGACGGAGGGGATGGGGCGTTTGGCTGGGAGGCCGCGTTGGAAGCGGGGGATGGTGCCTTTTTGGGGGAGGCCCTGGGAGTTTGTTAGTGGGATGGTGAAGAGAGAGGGGGGAGGTGTGGTTTGGCTTGAGGGTTGACTTACAAGAGGGTTCTCATGGCTATGTTTTGGCGTGGTTGATGAGAAGAACCTCCTGGGGACCAACAGGGTCGAAGGGGGGAGTTTTGTTGGCATTGTCAAAGGTTTTGGAAGTTATGTCGTTATCATGGCGGGTTCGACTGATGATTTTTGAAGAATTTTAAATAATAAGTCGCCAAAATTATGTCGTGATACCCATCATGTTGTTCTCATACGAATTTACCTACATCAACCAAATGCTCAGACCAAGAGCTCTCACCCCTGCACCTCTTCCCAGTGCGTGCACAGTAACCTCCACATAGTGACCCCACTCCCCTACATGCAGCAAATTCTGCCCTTTTCCACCGCCAAAATATCCTCGATCCGCTCTACCAAAAATTTACTTGCAAGTGGATGCTTTGCTTGCGCATTGCAGATTCAGGATCCCCAAAAGCTGCAACTTTTTCCCAGGTAGCAAGCAGTGTGCCTACCAATCAGCAAACAATGGCGCCAGTAGCAAAGAAAGTAAAGCCCTCGAAGCGGTTCGCGCAGTTCGACGAGAAGGTTATCGCAAGGGATTTCGACATTGAGAACGAGCCTCAATCCGAAGATGAGCGCAGTGGGAGCGACGAGTCGGAGGATGAGCTGGCGGGGACGGAACACTATGTTGCTGTCGGGTATGTTAATTGGAAAGCGAGTGTTTGGCTGCGCAAATGCTGACGGTGGTTATGGAATAGCAAGAGCAAACTCCGCGAGAAAGAAGGCATCAAGCTCGGCCCTGAATACCGCGGCGCGCGGGTGAGTCGAGCGGCGCTAGAACAGAGTAGTGATGAGTATGATGATGAAGAGGATGAAGAGGATGAAGAGGATGAAGAGGATGAAGAGGATGAAGAGGAAGAAGAGTTTGACGATCCCTCCATGGCCGACCTCGAGCGCGATCAGAACTTTGACGACGACTTCGAGATTGATAGCGACAATGCGCTTGGCGAAAGTGATGAGGAAAGATTCAGGGACTATGTCTTCCGTGCTAGCTCTAAGCCTAAGTTAGAGAAGGCGAAGGCGAATGGGAAGGCGAAAGAGGAGCTGAAGACCAAGGGGAGGATTTCCAAAAGGCCGACGGCTGCTGATTTCATGACTTCTTCGGGTGAGGAGGATGAAGGCGAGGAAGAAGATGAGGACTCTGAGGAGGAAGATGAAGAGGAGGACTCTGAGGAATATGACTCTGAGGAATACGACTCGGTGGCGGATGGAAACGAGATGTTTGACTTGGAGGCGGGAGAGGGGTCTGACGACTCAGAGGAGGATAGCGAAGAGGGTGAGGAGGGCAATGACGACGAGGATGAAGATGAGGAGGAGGAGGAGGACGACGACGACGACCAAGACGACTTCCGCAGGGCCCTCAAGAACGACAAAAAGTTCAACGAAGACCCCGACAGTTCCAAGCTTCGCGAAGCCCTCAAGGAAGACAAAAAGTCCATTGTCTCTGCCATGTCCCAGGCTGCCAAAGCAGACGCTGACAAGGGGATGGCCGTCCGCGTCCAGCGCCGCGCCTTTGACTCCATCCTCAACCTCCGCATTCGCCTCCAAAAAGCTCTGGTTGCCTCCAACACCTTCAACGAGGTGGAAAACAACCAAGAAATCTCCAACAAGCCGTACCAAGCAGCCGAGGAGGCCGCTGTCAAGCTCTGGAATACAATCGATAGTGTCCGCACCAGCTTCCTGCCCGAACAGGCCCGTGCCAAGGTTGGCGAGAAGAGAAAGAGGGATACCATCGATGTCGACACTTCCAGCCAAGAGATATGGGAGAATATGCTTGCCACCGAGGAAGTCGCCCTTGCTCACAGACGCAAGGTCCTAGAGAAGTGGTCCGAAAGAGTCAAGAAGAACACGACCACCGGCGCCGCAACCCGCAACCTCGTCAAGAACGAATCTCAAACTCTTCTTTCCGCCCTCGACAGTCAGCTTGTCTCCTCAGATCGTCTTGTCAAGCGCGCCCGTATCCCCCGCTCCTGCGCTCCTGCCCAAGCCGCCAAGAAGGTGGAAGAAGACGTCGAGATCTACGACGATGCCGACTTTTACCAATTGCTGCTCAAGGAGTTGGTTGACCAGCGCTCTACGGACACTGGTGCTCCAGGAGAGTCGGTCACTACTGTGAGATGGGCTGCCTTGAAGGAGGCCAAGGTACGGAAGCAGGTGGATAGAAAGGCTAGCAAGGGGAGAAAGCTGCGGTATACAGTGCATGAGAAGCTCCAAAACTTCATGGCGCCCGAGGACAGGAGACAATGGGAAGAGCATGCTATTGATCGGTTGTTTGGGGCACTGTTTGGGCAAAAGCTTGCACTCAAGGAGGAGGATGACAAGGAAGAAGAGGAGGACGACGACGAGGAGATGGGTGGTGTTAGCCTTGAGGAGGCGGGGTTGAAGTTGTTTAGGAGCTGAGCAAACTTTGGAGGTATATAATGCGCGCTGGACAGAATGGAAGATATAATGGAGATGCCTCCTTGTGGATAAACTACATTGGTTCGTGAACTGTCTTTTTTCAAGCTGTGTTTGCTTTGGCTCACCTGTACTTTGCCTCAATCTGGAAATCTTTCTTTCTACTGGAGCTGTCTCAGTCTGCCTCTTTAAACAGCCACAGTTTTATGCCATACTTTTCAGGATAATTCTTGAGACAGGAGACTTTTGCCTGTCCATGATAGTGCGAGCACCGTGCGAAAACCCAGTTCAAGTGAATCTAGAAATAGTCCGTGCGTTTACTATTCTGGTCTCCCATCCTGGGTTGAATGAGCATCACGCGCCCCGCCAACTTTTCAACTGTCATCCTTCGACACGACTGCAAAGTATCCATCGACTTTGGATCTCCGCACGTGCAAAACACAGTCAACATGAGCGCTGAACTAGAAGCCGAGAGACAAGAGTACGAGAATCAGGTATGTGCAACCCCTACTCATCCCCTGCTGCTTGAACTGTGTCACTAAGCCGACTGAATCCAGCTCGAACTCGTCGTCACATCGCTCAAAGATGATCCCGATAACGCCGAACTCCAGACCCTCAAGGGTGACCTTGAGGGCATGATCCAGATGATCAATGATTCCATCGCTGAGTTGAAGCCTAAATCCGCGCCCGCGCCGCCGAAGCGACAGCCCTCCCCACCGCCAGCGCCAAAGGAGAAGTGGTCGCGAGAGAACCACCCAGCCTTCAAGAAAGCCGGCCCCGAAGCGGCCGAGGAGAAGGAGTCGGACGTCGTTGTAAACTACCAAGTCAACGACACAGTGATGGCCAAATGGGCGACAGGCGACAAGGGCTTCTACCCGGCGAGAATCACGTCAGTTACCGGCTCCAAGACCGCGCCGATTTACACTGTCAAGTTCAAGAGCTATGATACGGTTGAGACGTTGAGAGCGAAGGATATAAAGCCCATGCCTGCCCAGAAGCGCAAGGCTGACGGGATCAGCACAGCGCCTACAGCTGGCCCGTCTTCTTCATCATCTACCCCAGCCTACGGTTCGGGTTCTGCGACGCCAACAGTGAACAATGGGATCGTCAAGTCTGCTCCTGCTGACATGTACCCCCAGGCGCAGGCCGCGGCGGAGAACAACCCAGACGAGAAGCCGAAACCGAAGTTCAAGAAGATAAAGGCGACGAAGGAGCTGGAGGCGGGGAAGAATAAGTGGCAGGAGTTTACTCAAAAGGGAAAGTTTGGGAAGGCTGCGAAGAAGGAGAGCATGTTCCGCACGCCGGAGGGTGTCAAGGGGAGAGGTATGTCTTGTCTGATGTCCACTTGCATGGGAAACCGATTGCTAACTTGCTGCATAGTCGGGTTTACTGGCTCTGGCCAGACCATGCGCAAAGACCCTACCCGCAGTCGGCACATCTACCAACCCAACGAAGATTTGGATTGAGCATTCTTCAAAAGAGTCTTGGACTAACTCGGGTTGTTTTCTACTTTCAGAACCTTTTCCGGCCCCCCATGGGAGACTATTCATTCTCGTCCCGGCGTTCATAGCGGCATCATCATTCGACACATCATCAGCAAGGAGGACATGACGGCTAGCGTTGAGATCAACTGGCTGAGATCAATGGGAGGGAATTTGGCGTTTATGGTCTTGCTATCCTTCGCTCGGGTTGCTCCCTGGTTTGCCCTGCTCTTGATTCTGTTTCTAATTTTGAGAAGAAGATGGACGGCTAACAGTGGTGCTCCGCAATATGTGACCAAACCAGCTACTTCACCAATAGAGGGCTCAGTTGGCCGACCTTTGTTGAGTATCTTGCGCATAATCACGGGGCAAGGGGCTAATGGAAGGCTGTACATAGATTCGATTGGCCTGGGAGATGGCGGGTCATTGGGGCTGCCATCTCACTTGTTGCTATTCCATGTAGTAATAAGATACCCTACGCTATCCATCTTGTTGAGTTCTGCTGTTTTGGGGCCACGGGAGCGTTGGGGGTTGAAACTCCACACATGTCAACGCCACCACCCTCATCGTCTGGCACTACTCCACGCCACAACCAAACTTTACAGTCTGCCTGGGCATTTGATTTTGAATTTCTGGCAGTGTTTTCGTGGCGCGGTAGTATAGCGGTCATTACAGTCCCGAGTTTGAGCGAAGACCCAGGTTCGACTCCTGGCCCGCCACGCAGCGTT